ACGGACTATAAACAGGCTAAGTCTTAAAAACACATTTTAGGAATTGATAACTCTAAGAAGTACTATCACATGTCCATGATAAAAAAATGCAAGACAGCATGACTATTATTATATTATTTTTTAATAAATGTTTGTAATACTTTAATGTAATTAGCTTGTTTTTGCTGTTTCTCAAACGTTATCTTTCTCTGCATTATGCGTTAATGATATAGAAGGCTTTAGGGAGGCATGTGTCCTAAGTTTTAGGATTTTAATTTAAATTACATTGAGAACTGAACATAATAAATCACGATATTAAAAAGCTTGTCACATATTAATTTTAATATAAACATTTACTTATTTAAATAAAAATAATATATATTTTTTAATTATTTAAAAAAATACATTACTTTATATCGCGACCTTTAATACTTTTGAAAAAATTAGAACCTTAAAAATTTGTTCTGACTTCTAACTTATTAGCTGAACCTATTTTCAAACATTTCAAATTATAAATAATTATTTACTATTAGAAATCAATAACCATTATTATTTTTCTTTTCTGATAGTAATATTTAGGTTGTTTTTCTAATATATTGCAAATGTTGATTGTTCAAAACAAGCGTCTTGGCGCCCCAGCAAGCGATGTCCGAACACAAGGTTAGCTACGCTCCGTATACCACGTGAGGTTGGCATCCGTCCGTTCTAGTCTCAACTGGATCAACTCTAGTTTATAAACCATTGGGAATCATCGTAACTATGTTTGAAATTGATGTTTATACCAAACATCGTATTTGTGTTCCATGAATGGAATGAAAAGCTTTTAAGAAATGTATCTAGTTGCATATTTATTCATCCATTGATATCTTTAAACTTTCGCGGTTTTTACTAACTTAAAGTTTGTAAGATTCTTATAAACTTTAAATCCATAGAAACTTAAAAACAATAGTAACTCGTTGGTAAGGTTGACTGAAAGTTTTTTTTAGAACAAATTGTAAAATAACAGCGAACACATGTTCATATTTTACAACTGTTTCAAAATTCACGAATTTATATTAAATTATAAGTTCTTTGAAGTATATAAATTGATTATGTAATTTATTTACAAAGATGTACGAAAAGTTTATTTTACTAGGCGCAAATTCTACCACATCAAAAACAAAATATAAGTATACTATTTGCATAATTATTTAAATAAGTTTTCGAAATAATAGGGTCACTTTTGCTGTCAACTTAGTCTCCTTCTTTCGCAAAAAAAAAAACTAACCAAATGTAAACGTGGGTATTCACGCTACGTAGGTCAATATATCTCTGTACATTATCGCTTAACAAATAAGTAAGCATAGTATTTCTAGCAATTTAATATAAATATTCATTAAAACATAAAACATAGGAAATCTAGATTGCGCAACAACTGCGTCACAAAGTGTGCTATGTTTACTTGGAACTCATATTATTTCATTATCTAGAAAAGGAACTTAATGACAACGACAAAGTTACCCTTTTTCGCACACCATAAATAGTCATCTATTCGTAAGAATTATTTTGACAACACAATGAAGAAGATGATACATTTCGTACAAAAACAATTTGTTTGATTGCGAATTGACAACTTTATAAGGCTAATACAATTAGCGCATAAAATTTACCTGTTTGTTTCGACAAAATCATATCAAAATAACCACAACGCAAAATTATTTTTGCATTTGATTAAAGAAAGTTAAAAATTAAACATCAGCTCAACACCTAAGATCTAAATACTTATGACACAATAGGTAAAAGCGATGAAAATTTAAGTCATAAAAACATATTTTTTATTCCCGCCATGTTTCAAAGATAGTAATCAGTTTGCCAAAACTTAATCTTACTAATATGTTGCGAATGTTTGGATGGATGGTTGGATGTTTGTTTGTTTGAAGGTATCTCAGAACAGCCAAATGGATGTCAATGAAGTTTGCCACACATACAGAACATAGTCTTAAAGAAGGCTACTGATTTTTTTTTTATTTCACTCGGACGAAGTCGCGGGCGACAGCTAATTACATACAATTGTTTATTTTACAACAGTTGGAACAGTTAAAATCACACCTGCATTAACTCGTTATGTGAAATCCAAAACTGTCAACTGCTTCAACAAATCAGATGAACTTGAAGATCGAGTACGAAATTAATCAAGTGGAGATCCGTTACTTGAGAACCAATACCATTACCGGGTCTCGGTATTTTTCCAGTTTGCATTTAATAATGCCAGTGCGCGTGAGCAATTACCAAGATACTTTCAAATACAAAAATCTTGAACACCTTTCAATGTCTTCATTTAACTTGAACAAGAACTAAAATTGATTACGTTTTAATTTATTATGAGTACTATTTGATAAACAAAAGTATTTATTATATATAAAATGTTTTTTTACAATTTTAATATCAAAATATATGTTGGTAATTGGGTTTATAGCTTTGATATATTTATTCCGACCTATATTTAGGAGTCGTCATATTTAACGTTTTACATGCAATGAGTGAGGAAAAAGAATCAAAAGAAAGCAATAAAAAAATCTTCTTAACTTTTGCAACTTCTTTCTATTATACAATAAGTAGCAATCACACGTTTGCAATTTTATCAAAATAAGCAGTAAAGTGCAATTCACTCGTACTTGAGATAAACCGGAACGTGATGAGGGATTTCAATAAAATACCTAGTATTGTGCAGCTCATATTGTCATCGCTTCGTCTGACGACCCCATTGCACATTACAATAACAATTCAACTCACTACTACTCAGTGATCACATGCCACCGGAATCGACCCACTGACGGTCCGCACTCAATGGAATCTTCTTTTGATTCTACTCAAATATCTAATATATGTCTCGTCTAGAGCAACTTTGTGTTAATCAAGCCAGTATTTTAATAACAAAGAAAACTGCCAACCTTTTTTTTAAATTTAGAATGATTGTCAGAAATTACGAATTTCCATTTTAAGTTATGTTGGCATACCCTTGTTTTTTTATTTTCTTTCATCTTATTTTAAAACAGTTTTTAATTTAATGGTTCCTCACATTTTGCATCTCGCCTTAACATTATGGAATAGAAATTAATTAAAAATAGTAAAGTTTAATCATGAAACAAGGGTTTTTATGAGATTACGTAGTTTATCCACCACGATCTTCATGGCATTGCACAATATTTTAGTTTGTTCTTTTTTAAGAACATAAAAATTAAATATTATTCTACTTTACCTTTCTTGTGTACAAGATTATACGATACATATGACGTAAATAATAAGAAATCCCCGGCCATGCTTTAGCTACATTAAAATTATCTTATTGTACTGCACAAAAAGCTTAGTTGTTAACTAAATACTTGCAAAAACGCAGACGTCGTACATTATAAACAAACGACTGATTATCAATAGTATGAAATTACTAGTGGTCGAACGCGACTCCGTCCGCGCGGAATTAAAAAAAATCATAATTAGTAGCCTATATGTTCTTCCAGGCTATGTTCTATATGTATAAATTTCATCGAGAATCGTTCAGCCATTCTGGAGATACCTTCAAACAAACATCCATCCCAAAATTCCCATTTATAATATTAGTAAGAAGTAAGATTTAAATTTAATTGTACATTATGAACCACATCTGGTGAGAAGAGACAATTTTTAAGACGAAAATACAAAATGTTAAAGTAAAGACACTGAACACAATAAAAGTCACCTACTTACAAAAGAGAGAGTAATAATAAAAGAAATATATATGAGAGATGCACATATGTAAAATGAAACGGTTCAATGCTTAGATTAAATCTTACTAATATTATAAATGCGAAAGTTTAGATGGATGAATGTTTGTTTAAATGTATCTCGAAATTAGGTATACACATAGAACATAGTCTGGAAGAACACATAGGCTACTAATCATATATTTTTTATTGACACGCGGACGGATCCGCAGGCGACCGCTAGTGTTATCATATTTTTAAATTTGATTGTACTAAACGCGATCAGGTCACATCCAATGACAATCAATAATTGTATAGATCATGCAACGACTGACTTAAATCTTCCTCTAATTAATTACAAATAAATTACAGAAAATGCGGATAATTTTACTACTTCTATGAATTTATAAAGGTGTTATTGTACCAATTTTCACTGAGTTTTCCGCTTATTCTTTTTTTAGAATTTTGCTAGTTTTGATATATAAATATTCTTTTTTTATCATAAGGTGGCAAACGAGCGAGCGGCCACCTGAAATCGCTGAAATAGCGAAGTGACCGTTGCCATATACATAGACATACGCAATTGCATATGCGTTGCCTACCTTTAATCAACGGAGGAGAGGATGCACAGGAAGAAAACATTTTACCTTTACATGCATCCTCTCATCCGGAAAGTCCACTTCCACTTCCCATCCGTTCCCTATAAGAAAAAGGGTGGGAAGGGAAAGAGGATTAAATTAGGTCTCCGGGACGACTATCCATAAATTCAGGTAGGGTCACTGAACTGACAATTTAAATTTTTCCTACAAATAATGTTTAACTACGATACTTGAAAACATACAGTGTAGAAATTCTTAACTTTGTTTTATATCTTGTATTTACAATGACAAACTTTAAAATGTTACAATCGCATACAACTTTTGAACCAAATTTGTGACATCAGCAGAATGGTCAATATATCACTATTTGCATAAAGTCATATAGTCATTTTAAGGTCACGCAGGTATTAGAATAAAGTTGATCGGACTGCGAGTGAAAAGCAAAAATAAAGTAATAATTTGCCCTGTGGCGACTACACCAAGAATGTTTGTGTCTAGACTTGCGACAAAATTACAAAACGACCACGTATAATGTTACTCTGGTATTCAGCCGGTGAAGCGGAAAAAGTAGCTTCGAAAGCTCTCAGAGTGGAGTTAATAGTGTTAATGAGGCTGAGATGAGCTGGAGACGTCACCGCACCGAAGACGCCGGCGCCGCGCCGCTCCACCCGCCTTCATATAAACGCGTCGGCGACGCGCGCGCCGGTCAGTGACAAAAGGTGAGCGTTCCGTCCGCGTCGTCCCTGCAAGGCGCTGTGCTGTGCGCATGCGCATCCCGCCCCGGCGCCAGCGACGCGACTTATCATTGTAAATTCTCCCGAAAAGATGATGCATCCCGCACTGCACTAAGTTTTCGTGTTTGGAGCTATTGACTCTCGGACTCGAGTACCCTTAACAAATTATTTTCGTTTTCTTTGTTCGCTCATAACAAAGCATTGAAAAAATAAACAAAATGGTCAGTGGCAACAAGGACCCCAGCGACCCCAAGAAAATACCGCCGAAAAATCGTGAAAAGAAAAGCAATAACTACAAGCGGGCGAATCCTGTGTCGCGAGCATGGTTCGTTTGGATGATGCCGACCTTCTGGCGCGGCTACAAGCGGGACCTCTACGACTCCGACCTTACCAATCCCAAAGATAATCATCTCTCCAATAAACTTGGCGATCGCTTGGAAAAGTAAGTGTTACTTCTTTTTCTTTTATTTTCATCATATTTTTTGTTAGTTAATTTCCTTTGAAAATTAATAAGTACTTTGATAATAATAAATTTATATGACCTTGTAAATATAAATAATTAAAAATACATTGTATTACAAGTCAATACATTGAACATATAATAATTTTGTATGTGCACCACGTCTGTTTGTCGTTTCTATAGCCGGTTTAAACTGTTGAGTTTAAATGGAATGCACTTTTCCAATAACAATCTATATTTAAAAAATTGCTTAACCGTTTTGAATATAAAAATACAAAAATTCAATTGTTGAAATGTATTATGAAAATCTGAAAATAAGATGTATACGATACAATAAAAATAAACTTATACGTGGATGTTCACAGGTTCTTTTAGTTGTTTTGAGAACTTATTCAAACGTAACGTTTACTGCAAACAAACGAATTAACATGTCGTTGTATACTATCGTTCAACCAGCTTGCGTCCTTCTTAACAAAGAATAAAATAACCAATGAAATTCTTAACCTCTACAAATTATTTCCTTTGTTACTTTTGTTACCAATAAAAAAAAACTAATACGAAAGTTTGGAGAAACAAATGAACGTTCTTTCTTCCATTATGTCTGAAGGAGACACGATTTCATGTTGTTACAAATTACTAAACACATTTGTTTCATTTCCTTTTTACAAGAACAGGAAGCTCGTAATGCCTTTGATATCTTGTGGTAATTAACAAAGAACGTTTAGTTGAAAACGATAAACTCAGGGGGACTTATACAGCCTGAACACTAAAGGCAATAAAATCATTACATTTAGATAACTTTTCCAATTTTATTCGAATTTTCATCATCCTTTTACCTTAGATGAAAACAAATTAATTTTTATATTATTTATTTCATATTTTAAAAAAAGCACATCTTCCTTGGGTACGTTTTAGTCTTCACAAAAAAATCACGATTAATTTATTTTTCACGTAGTAAGTAATAGACGTTTGAATAATCTCGTTTAGATGCCAATAAAATTTTTATTATCACATGAAATATTTACGTTTTCTTTTTGTAGCGTCTTACAAATTATCCAACAACTGTCACAATTGTATCGAAAAAAAATCAACTTTAAATGTACCAGGGTCAAATTTTATATATTCAGTAAACATATTATATGTAAGGAAATCTATAAATCTAAGACTATGGGTGGGTCTTTCTGTCATATATCATATATATTCGCTTTGAAAAAACCGGCAGGTAACAAATGCTTTTGTCCGATTACTTTGGTTGTGAATAAAAGATAAATTAGATATTAGATCATGGATAACTAGTCAAAGATCGGCTCTTAGTATACCAAATGTCTATTCGAGAACTTCAAAAACTTATTGGTACATTTTATGAGCCCTTGCATGGAAAGAATAAGTGCAAAAATAAAATAGTTTAATTGCGTTCGTTATTAACGGGCATATAAAACATAATGTTATGATAATCAGATAGCGGACAATCGATTGTTTGACTACTAAATCCGCTTTAACTAGACACCTATGTCCGTACAAGTTACAATGATTTCTCTTTTTCATTATTGGCATAACACTACAACCTTTTTGTACGGTAAATTTAACTCATAGACTATTTTATTTTTTAAATCTGGCAAACGTGCATTCGGCTACCTGAATTCAATGGAATAGCGAATGGAGAGCGGGCCATAGACATTCACTATTGCAGATGCGTTAGCTACCTTACATCATCAGAAGAGAAGGCGCACAGAAGGAAAATATTTCCCTTTCCTATACGTCCCCTCCTCCTTTAAGTCCACTTCCCTTTCTATCATTCCCTTATAAGAAAAGGTTACTCGTTTCTTAGAAGGGAAAAAGGATTATAATTCGGTCTCCGGCATACATTTAATGGAAACGTGGAATTGCTTCCACTTCACACCTGTCTTTTGTTTGGTCGTGGTATTTTACTCAACAATAGCTGTTGTTGCTGGCATCTTCCACTGTTAAATACATATATATTTTTTTAATATTACCTTTTATTATTATTGTGGTAAACTAATATGTATAAATGTGTACATTAGAAAGGAAATAAAAACAAAAAATAAGCGAAATAAACATAAAATTAATGAGGCAAATAGAAAGATAAGTGTAGAAATTGTTTAAATATTTAAAGATAATTAAGGTACATTTAATAATTAAATTCACAAAAACTTTTTATATCTTTTTGTAATATTTTATTTTAGATATGTATATTAAGCACGCTCTATTTTTATTTTGGTGAGTCGTAAATCCTTAAGAATGGACATCGGATTATAAAAGGCTTTTTATTTTTCAAAGTATATGTGTAACTAAATGTTAGTAATGTTGTAGTTTGTGTACATCATGCCATAAATAATACATGTATGCATACAATGTCGATTAAATTAATATTAATATGTATTTTATTACAAATTACTAAGAATTGTGACTCTATTAATCTAGATTACTAGACAACAGGTAAATATATTCCGATATCGCTATAAGGAATCCAAAGTCGCTCCATTGAATAATTAGTTGTTATCATTGAATCCTGCCTGCAGTCATGACATTCAATGCACACGTCAATACAAACTTGACTTTATTGTAAATTAAAACATTCCTATTTATAAAGATTTTATAAATATTGATAAAATTTAAGAGCATTTAAATTATGGAATTAATTTATTACTGGCGGGTGACAGACAAAGCAAATCCATCCGCGCGAAATAATAAAAAAACATAATTTTTGACTATGAATGAAAATATTCTTTGATGCTATTCTCACTTCCATATCTATCCCAAATTTCAGCGAGATCCATGCAACCGTTCTGGAGATACTTTCTAACAAAGATTCATCCATATAAACATTCGCATTTATTAGTAAAATTTTGTTTCCTAGGGTTATATCTCGTGATGTAAGATCAGTCTTGTATATTACAAACATAATACTAAACAAGCTGTACGAATTTCATTAGTTTACAACATACAACAACTTACGCCCGTAACCGTGATGGGTAAGCAGAGACTATGCGTTATTTGGGATAGTACTGCCAAATGCACACATCTACGTTTACACTACATCTTTATTTGAACAATCAAATTAAACTACTACAATAAGTCGTCGGGTCAGGAGAATTCGCCATAGTTGCAGTCAAATTGGCCTAGGTATTTGATGTCTGACATAGTAAATTATTATTACGTTGTGCGAGGTCGCTGCCAATTTTCTAGCTTAAGATATAAAGCCCATTTCATACGTTTAGTTTGAACTGAACGGTTAAGACGTGTGTAATAAAACTGATAGTTAATATTTTTTCAGTTTGAACTGTACAGTTCGAATCTTCAATTAAAACTGTGCAGTAAAATCCCTAAAGTATGTAGCGAGCTTTACGTGGTAAAAATAATGACACATTTGGAAAAAAAGATCATATTATTACTTTTTATTATGTAGATAATCAAACAATATCATTTGAAAAACAATGGGAATAATTTTCTTTAAATGTTCTTAAGAAGCTGTCTATTAAATTTGTTTTATTATGGTTTTAAGTTTTTATTTTTTAATACCAAGACAAAACTGAGGTAAAACGAATTCACTAGAATTAAATCCAATATATTTTTTAAAATACGTTCAATATTTTCCTGTATGTTATGACGTATTGATAATAGGACGCAAGGCTTTTAAAGTTTATTTTTAAATATCTATGGTTTCTCTTATAAATACAAGTAACCGCGAAGGGATAAAGAAAAAAGTATAACGAATTCCTTTCTCCCCAGTCTATTTATAAACTTGCAACGATTACATTACCCGTGGCGGGGTGCGTTTACCTTAAGGATTCACGTTTTTATAACATAAAACATTATAATGTTAGGTGCACACTTTATATAGCTCGCTCATTAGCCGGGAACAGGTCCGTGATCGCTTTTTCCCTCGGGCTCTATATGGTGGGATTAATTTTAGCAAACAACTGCGCTGTTTTTTTTTTACCATTGTATTCAATACCTAAGTCCAAACCAGGTAGAAATAAATTTTTGTTTTTGCGACTAAAAACTGTTTATTATTTGAAAAATGATTATTTTAACTACTTTTTTGCAAAAAGTAATACAGTAGCTTTGTATTCAAATTATCTTTATATAAAATAATTCTTTGGATATGAATCAACTTAAATCTCATAATAAAGCAAAAATAAAAAATCTAACTTTAACATCTCGAAGATGACGTTATGTCAAAAATACTCTTGCGTTTAGAAGTTTAATTTGATTTTTTCGCACTTACAATAGTAATGATAAAGTAAAATATATGACACCACCGCTTGTCCTTTCAACATGTTTCTGGGAAGTACGGAATACATCCTTTTAGGAACGTTCAAATTAGTTTCAATAACGTATATGCGTCACAATAAAAATGTAAAGTGTATTTGTAATTCTCGGAAACCCTAAATCGTTTATAACTCTGAGAAAAATACAACGAATATTTACTAAGGAATTAGGAATTTTTGTAATATTTACTTCAGGAAAATAATAAATAAAATTTATTTTCATTATCAATAATTAACCAATTATAGTTTTACTAACTATCCGGGACTCCGCCTGCGCGGTATTATTAAATTACTTAATTAGTAGCCTGTGTGTTCTATATAGATACCTTCAAATAAAAATGCATCCATGAGTCTATACACCCCTGCAAATAATCGCATTTATAATACTAGTAACGTAGTAAGATAAAAAGTAATTAATACAGATCAAGTGTTTCGTAGAATTTGAACATGTAATCGAGAGTCACACCTCGCTTTTGTCATGTAGGCTATATACTTATATATAAAATGTTATATAAATATAAAGTTTAATAATCAATATCCACTGCAGTAAGTCTGTGTTATTCAGTAATTTATCATCGTTTCAGAATACTCCAGAACATTCCAGGGGTAAGACCAAGCTTCGGGGAGCTACGTGTTGTAAATAGGACATGGTTTTAGTACGTCAAACCATTAAGGGCTTCTGACTTAAAG